TGCACAGCTTAACCTGGGCGGAAAATTAGGAGCATGATGATTGTAAAGACTGTCCTTCTCCAACCAAGGGATTTTAGTCCTAAGGATTCTCTAAACTACACTGATTACTGACTTAAATTGAAATAAACTCTGACTCCCAAAACTACATTTTTTGATACAATATTGAGAAAAACAGGAATTTTAGCTTAAAAGCCAGCATAAACCTAAGCAGGCACCATCTTTTCTACAACATTTAGTTATAGAACTACAACACTTAGTTGTCGTAGTTCTACTTACATTTGCAAGTATGTGCTGGTCAGGCATATCAAGTTCTTTCTTGAATAAAGTCCAAATCAAGCTTTCCCCTCACCCCAAATATTTTTCTCGCATTAATTTGCCTGCTTTATTGCAATTGTCCAGAACAGAGACAATATACTGGAAAGAAGAATTAAAACAAACAAACAAAAAACCCCAACAAACAACTAAAAAAAAAATCTGAATTTGGCTAGTTGTTTAATCTGATACCAACTACACTGTTCAATGTATCTATCTGTACTCTGGCTATGTAAAAACAAGTACAGTAGAGACACACCTTCATGGCACTTCAGAGTTCTGCATACTAGAAGTAAGACAGGCCTGCATTTTTGGTCTTTGAGGTCACATACCAGTTTTGGGATGCAACTCAGAGACTTCAGTGGCCTGAACTACAGCTGCAGTAAGAGATGTCAGACTCTCAACAGCCCCAGCAACTTATTAGCATTGAAACAAGTGTAGTGAATCTGAGAAACCTATCTTAAGTCAAAGTTGGTGCAATAGCCCCACTGACTGCTGCACTTTCCACAGAATAATAGTTTGAAATGTGACTGCACAAAACCGGAAAAGTATTTGGATACATGGAAAATTGTACAATTCAGCTCGTTAAAATTTTACAGTATTTGTGGTTTCAAGGATAAATACAAAGCTTGACACACACTCCTATGTGGTAAATTGAAGGGTAGATAGAAAGGGAGCATGAAAGACAGAATGGAGTTGTCTTCTACTGAGAGCAGCAGAAGAGCCTTTTACTTTCCCTGTGAAAAGCCACTTGGATTCTGCAGCTGAGATTGAAGCAGCTAGCAGGGGTTTGCATGTGGAAGGGCTTGATTTGTGAATTATGTAAGAATTCACAAAGTACTGGGCAGGTTCCAGATGTAACAGTGCCAGCTGCTTTCCACCATTCCTTATAGTATCATACTTTCAGTGGTTAACAGGGGGTCACAGAACAGTGGGCTACTGTCAAATGCAGTTTTAAGAGTGTTTTGCCCTAAAAAGGCCTAATGAAGCATGAAGTGAGAGATTTGGGGGGTAATGAACAAAACCTACCTGCCCTGAATGAGTGAAAAAGTGTATTTTAAATGGCTTCTACTGAAAAAAAAAAAAAAAAAAAAAAAGAGTTACATGTGCATGCAAAAAAGATGTAGCACTCAGGACAAATGAACAAAAATTCAGCCACATGGCTGGGGTATGAACAAGATACCAAACAAAATTCTTTCTTGTTGCCATTAAAAAGTAACTGAAAAGTTATTTTGATTCATGACAAAGACATGACTAGAAGCTTGCCAAGGCTCATTGCAATGTCCCTTCATTTTCCATTAGCAGTCTCTTGAAGCACATGGCATGGTGGTTTACAAGAGAAAAACATCAATGCACAGAATTTAGAATGAAGCCAGGCAGAAAAAAAATCCATCATTAAAAAGTAAACCCCTAACTAGCCCAAACTGTATCCAGTAGTTTCTATGACTATGTAATTATCACCATATTATGATACCTAGGTGATAAGAAATAATTGAAAAAATAATTCTCTTTGACCCAAGAGAAGGAATTTAAACAGGTAAACAAATTTTGTTAAAAATGAACTTTTAAAATTTTGATGGAAGATAAAATAAAGGGTAACTCAGGTAGCCATTGTAAGAATATTTTTTTAATGCTTAAAGAAACTGATTGAACTGAGTGTTCTGGACAGTGTTCAGGTCATTAAGTTGTTAAAATGCCAAAGGAATTAGGATCATATAATCAAAGATTAATGAGAAGTTCAAATTAACACTTGATTATTGGTGCACTACCTGAAATGGTTTAGAAAATGTACTTTTTGGTGCTTCTTTGACACCATCTGAAATCTGTTCCAATACTTGCATCTTGTTCTGGAAAGGATTAAAATGTGAAAAGAAGGAACAATTGTTTTTCTGCTACCTTCATCTCCCCTTCACCATTTTCTTGGATGAAGAACCCCAATCTCCTTCCAGCATAAATGGAAGCAAACTAGATTTAAACATTTGAAAAGATATAAAGGTTTATTAAATGAATCCAGATTTGACAGATATTACATTAAATTAAACAGCAATAAAGTTTTACTAGGGTTTATGTACAGATCACAGTGATTTTTCATTGTGCAATGAGGGCTGACTTTGTAAGTTGAACAGTACTTACATGTGAGCTACAACAAGCAACCAGCAACACACAACATTAGCCCAAGTGAACCTCGCAAGTCGAGCAGTCCAAACTGATTATGCAGCACACAAATGCCTGCTACCACTATCACTACTTTCTACACAACAGAGTATTTATAAAGCAGTCAAGGTTTGCCATAGAAAAGTGCAAAACATGGGAAGTCTGTACACAGTACAGTACAAGAAGGAATCATGCTACAGTCATTGAAAGCTGAAAAATAATTCTATAGCATAGGAAGCACTGCATCACAACTCTTCTGAATGGCAAGCAGATGGGCTGAGGAACAGCCATATCTTCATTGCTTTCAAAACTGTAAAATCCCTGTTTATCCATTTAAACATAGTTTAGTACCTATATTTGATCCATAACAATGACTTTCTACAGTGGAAGATCACATGAGTTAAAGCTCAGTAGCACACATATTCATTGATCAAGCTCATTTACAAGAAAATCTACAGCATGTTCTTCATTTAAATCATGAAGCATTTATATCATTTGGTTACAAGGCAATTGAGTTTACAATTCATGTTTATCACTTAAAACCTCAGACTGGGCAATTAAAAATATATATGTATAAAACTCAAAAATAAAGGTTGTTTTTTTAATGTTTAACATTCTTGTTCACTGATGTAGAATATCAAAGGCCTATGGGCTCTCTTGCAAGACAACAGTCCTTATGCAACAGTCTATATGCAACAGTACACATTAACAGAAACAATCAAAATAAAATGAACTTCAGAGAACACCCTACTTGAATAGGAACTAAAAAAATCTCCTAGTCTTCTTTAAAAAAACCCATAAATCCAGAATTCCTAGTGCAGTGTTTACCTGCATGAGCACTCAGACAGAACTACATTAGCGGGCCATGAAGTCCCAGTAAAGACTTAAAGCAGACTCACTTGTGCAAATAAATAAAACAGCCAGGTAAAAACACCTCATTAAGCCCAGGACTGTATAGAATATAACTGATTGCTTAAAATAATGCTTCAAAAATGTTTTGGTTTTATTTTTTACTGCAGTATTTTAATTTAAAAAAACTGAAAGCAGTTTTGTACTAGAAAGCATGTTGACAAGGTCAGTAGTTAGGTGTATGTACACATGGCTCGGAAACAATGTAAAGTCAATGGATTATCATTATTAATAACATTGTATTCACTTCCTTGGTTTCCATCAGAATGAGTGTCAGTGCATCCACTGCCAGCAATGGATAAAAGTCATAAAAAGAAAATTCACTATCTCCTGTTGTTCAAGCATTCAAAACTTCTAACTGCCACTGTGGCAAATTACTCAATTTCAACTTAATTTCCTCAGATCTGAAGACTTAAACACAGAGCAGCTTTGAAATTTGAAGAAAAATCCTATGTTTAGCACACTTTCTTGAAGTATGTAAATTTCCTAATAAGAAATTGATGTATGTATTCAGAGTATTCAGAGTCCATAAAATACCATACACTTACACATCAAGAAAACTCCCCAACTGCTTTTGCTCCCCCTTACACAAAGTAAGCTGTGTTTCATGTAATTCAGTTTTTCCAACTGATTTAGAATGACTAATTCCACAGATACAAACATAGTGAGCCAGATCCACTTTTCCAAGAGAATAAGGTAGTTGCACTAGGTTAAAACTGTAATTTCCTATGGATTGTCCTGTATTTCATTATACATTCCTACACAATATTCACTGAGTGGCAGCTGCAGCCATCAACTTGCATAACATCAAAACAGCTTTGTGATATTCCAGAATTTTCATTTTGAAATATCCTGATTTTGTTACACATTGTGCATTTTTGACAAGAGTTATACAATCTCTTTTAGTAAGACTTGCTTTATGAAGAAATAATCTAATATCCTAGAAGTTACAGGTTCCCAATAGCACTTCTGTACTGTTTAAACGAAAAAAATTGAGATCACTTTTCCACAAGGAGACTCCAGTAACAGATCTGCAATAAAATCATAAATATGGTAATTTCAGTAGCAATTACTAGAATGCCTACTTGGTAGGCATTCAGGATTTAGTTTAGAAAAACAAATCTTCGGCCTGCACTTATAGCTCTCAGATCAAAAATGTGGAGAGTAGTTTTTGAAAAACCCTGTCTGTATGATCTAATCAAACAGTATTATGTAGAGCCATAAGTCATAGCAGTAGAACTTCAGAGAGCTGATGTGTTCTGAGAAAAACAAAAAGGTCCAAATATGGTAATTTCACTAGAAGCTATCTAAACTGACAACATCCTAAAAAAAGTCATTGTGTTTTTTGTAATTGAAGCACTTCAACTCCCTTATATTAAGAGAAGTATCACAATATGAAACATGAAAAAAAAACCCTAAAAAAAAGAGATTCTTCCTAGTATTCAATCTACCTTCATGTTTCTGTGCATTCATATATAGAGATACATACTTATGCACATACTGATATTTAGTGCTACTTAAAATTAAGCAATATTGCAAATACTTCCAAAAAAGTGTGCTCAAGCAGCTAGAAAGATGTTAACACAGGATGAAAAAAGAGACACTGTGCATCTAAGGTTTGAACTCAGTACATATGAAATTGCTGGCAGCAGGGACTAGGACATTTTCGAAAAAGGAGGAGGAGAAAAGGCTGTAATAAATATTCCGTCTTTCCTCTGATATTCTGAAGTGTTCAGCATACAACAACAACAACTATTTTGCTAATGAAAAAGGTCTGTTATGGCTCATGCTTTACATTTGGAGAAGACAACAAACTTGTGAGGGAACAACTCCTGTCAGAGCCAGTTAAAGCCCTTTTATCAGGATGGACTGACTTGCATGTTTACAGTGAGTTTTCATGTGAGGAATCTCATTTCAGACAGTGTATTATCACTCAAAATTCTGGTTTTCAAAAAGACATAATTGTAACAGAACTTCATAAATTAGCCATTAAGATACATCTTTAACAACAATAAAACGTGCCCTGGTCTTTCTGCTTTCAAGTACTATAGTTGTAAGTGTGAGGCATTGGAAATTTTAGGTACAAATCTGTTTTAAAACGTAATTATTTCTGTTTTTTACAAAGAATTATAAAATGTATATAAGATGATGAAAAACTCATTTATCCTTTTTTAAGACTTTTATTCCTAAAGAACTCCTTGAAAAACATCATCTGAAAAATAAAAATCATAGACTCTGCAAAGTACAAAAATTTACATCTTTGCACAATTCCTGTGCTTTAGTTGTACTGTATCCATTATATACATATATACTAATTTGTGCTTTTAATTACACAACTTTAGTATAAACTTATAAAATTAAGTCTATGAGTTAACTATGCAAAAAGGATCTGGGAATAGCAGGAAACTTAATTCAACCATAAGTTAAAAAAAAATAATCCTAAAAATATCATTTTAATCAGTCTACTTCAGAGCAGACTACCATTATTACAATTTAATAAACTAAGGTCAAATGTTTACAGCAAAAAATTATTCCTGCCTGCCTCCATATTTTTTGACATTTACTAATACACATATCTGAATGCAGCATCATTCTTAGCCACAAAGAAAATCTTCCTTTGTATCTGAACTCCATTGTTCTTCAGAATTGCTCTTAGCACTTCAATTTCCTTCCAGTTGCTAAGACAAAAAAAGAGAACACAAAACTCAAGGTGGACTATTTGAACTCAGTAATAAGTATCAACCTATCACATTTATAAGAGAGAATATTCAGGGTACAGAACTAATCTGACAATTTTATTCCTCTAGAGTAGTAAAACCTTACAGTTAAAAACTATCACATTTCCTTATCTGTCAAATCATTCTAGGTATTTCTTTTTACACACTATTTTAAAAAAAATGTAAGGACAGAAGGACTTAAATATTTGTATGCAAATAAACCTTCATGAATATAGAAAACCAAATCCTGTGAGGTGATTTTTGTCACCTCAAGCCATTATAAATCAGAAAATGTAATTCTGCATATCGTTCTCACTCACAGGTCTGCAAGGTTTTCAAGGGCACTCGACATTTGGACATACCTTGTTGAGTGTAGATGCTACACTCAGAAGTTCTTGAAAATTTCTAGATCTTTAGGAGGTACCGGAGGTGTTTTATTCCAGTCATCTTCAGGATAAGCTTCAAAATTGGAAGTATCCCCATCATTGGATACTTTGGGCACTATGGGAGGCTGGTCAGAAGAAGTACAACAAAAACATTAGCAGTTTCCTCTCCATCATACTATTCTGTAAGAGATCTATTAAACAAATGGAGTACAGATTTACCTTCACCTGTTCCATAATAATGAATGGTACGAGAGAGAGAAACTTGCAGCAACACATACACATTCCTACTTTTTGTCAATTTTAGACTTTAATAATGTGGGTAAAAGACACTTAGATAATTAATACACTTAACATAGATACCTATTTTATTGAGAGCACTAGCTTCTTTTCAACTAAGAATCTTCATAGCAGCATGGGAATCTGCTACCATATCGAAGGTAGCCTCCTCTTCATTGCTTTCAAATAGATTGATTGCTTTTAAAGAGGTTGAAATTACTAACTTCTGTCTACCAACTGTGTTTTTTCCTAACCTAGCAATAAATTCAAGCAGGTAAAGAAATTGCTTCACCATAACTCATTTCAAAAGGATGGTTATAAAAGCATCTTAATTCAAATAGATTGTTTTTATGAAACTTGAAGGTGCCAAGAGAAGTATCAGTTTTTGTTTGTTTTCACAGAGGATCCCTTCAATTTCTAGCATTGCTCATCAGCTTTACAGTACCTGTAGTTTTAACTTGTCTGAAATCTAACATTGAGAATGCACTGTGCTTCTGGCAACAGATTATGAGATAAAGATCCCTTCAGGAACATTGCTTTAATTGCAGGTATTAATGAAGGGCAAACCCATTTTCCTCTCTCAAGGCACATTCATCTCTCTATTCTCAGCAACTGAGAGCTTAACTATCATGCTGAATCCACAGAACACTTTAGAATGAGAAAACCCTATGGATGATCACTGAACTGGCTCCAAGTTATACCACAGACAGAACTATAAAGTATAGCAAAATGCTATTCTGCATATCCTCAAAAAGATAAACGTCTGGCTTCCACTAGCTCATGAGATCTTATTTGATCTTTTGGGCTTTTCAAAATGGTGTCATCATCAGTTGGTTTTCAGTGGGAAAGACAGGTCCCTGTATGAGAGTACTTCTAACCTTCAGCCAAAAGCAGAGTGCTAATTTTGTGTCTGGCAGTCACAGTAACACTGCCCAGATGCTGAATCTGCTCTGCCCCTGAGAAATGTCTGCTCCCCTGTGGGCAGTGCCTGGTACCCCTCCTCCCTGTAAGCATTTTGGCGGAAAAAACCAGTTTTGTGAAGTGACATGTAGAAAGGAAAAAACAAGAGAGAAAGGATGATTAATGAAACAATTTTCTCCCTTTCAGCCATTGCTATTGTTTATATGATATTGATATTTAGGACCTTATTCAGACCATGAATCCATGCATAATTTATACAATAGACAAATTCACGCTTTTTACCAGGAAAATGGAGCATTGTGTGCATTATTTTATATTTTCAATCTCTTCATCAGTATGAAATCATGACAACAAATTCTATAGAGGCAGCTATATTCTTCAAATAACCAAGTAAAATTCTGATCCGCTTCACATCCCTACTCTAAAGTTTAATTAAATACCACTTCATCTTCCAAGACCTTAATAGTAATCTGAATGCTATGGTGACTCTTTTTTGATTAATTTTTAAAATAAAAATGCCACATAAAGGATGTTTGGACCTGAGACATTTGATTGTACATCTAATAATAATTTTTAGTACTATTTGTTTTTTATTGCTTAGGTTGCCATAAACTTCTGAGTTTATATATTATTAAACAGGTTATCATCTAGTTTGTGTTCTTTGCAGGTTTGGTAAACAGAATTTAGAGTAAATACCTAGAAAAATGTGACTTCATTACAATGCATATACATAAAAATATCAACTGGTTGCAGTAATGATTAAAAATAAAACAAACCCACACATTTAAAACACTGGAAACTTATTTTTCTTAAAGAGAAAAGCCATCTATAGCTTTGTATTAGATATTATTTAAAGAATACATCAAGAAGATTTTAATATTGTGTCCTTTTTTTTTTTTTTTTGCAAGAACTCAAGGTATCTACCCGGAATTTAAGTGGAAGAAACTAGTGCAAAGAAAATAAAAACAAATGTTTAATTTGTACTTGACTGACTCCATGAGGTAACTCAGCCTCTGCTACAGAAAACCACTGCTGTAAGGAATTGTACAAGTTAGAACTCTGAGGAAGGAAAGAAAGAAAGCAATTTTACTTCTAAAGTACTTTAAAAGTATTTTGTAGTGTTGATAGCTTTTGCAAACATCTGCCCTCATATAATACTAAAATTCAGTGCTATAAAAGTCTGTTGGAATTACATTCATAAATTCTCTTTTACCTTCCCTATTCCTCCTACTCCCATGTGCTCTACATTTTATTAAAACATTTACCTGAATTGAGCTTGGTACAAAAATTTAAAGCCCAGAATAAAATGCCTCCATATACATAAGGACAAGGAAAAAAAAAAAACAAAATCAAACCAACAAATGAGCAATCCCCTCCACGTCCCCCAATAAAAAACCACTTGCAACAAGTAATCACTTACAAAAACCTAAACCTGAAAACTAAATTCTGTATTAACAAATCATCTTCAGCGAACTAAAGCAAGGATTTTTTTAGACAGTCCGTATACAGACAAAAATGCAAACAGACATTCATACAATTAACTCCACATCGCAAAAAGGCCAATATGCATTTAATTACTAAGTGTGCATATAGACATGTGCTTATACACACACAAACACACAGATGCAACAGGCAACAAACCTTCAACAGATCAGCTTAAATGAACAATGATTTCTCCTTGTGATGTCCTACACAGTATTTGCAGAATGTACCTTGAGTCTCCTTTGAGGTACAGCATCCCAGTCTATAGACCTGAACCATCGATGCCTCTTCACATCATCAGCTCCATTCTTTAAGGAAAGAAATCAAAATTACTATTTTTTAAGCTTACATGTATGCCAAACCATGTATTTCATTACAAGGACTGTGATATCAGGTCTATCCTTTTTTCTTTTTTTTCAGATGATAATCATGAAAAGATTCTAAAGGATAAATTCATAGTGTTAATTCCCTAGTAGGTCCTGAGTTCCAGCAATAAAACCCAAGTAATTTTGATTTGGGGTTTCTTTGGGCTTTTTTTAGCATTCTTCTGACACAATGGAGATCAAGAACAGGCTTTGAAGTACCCACAAAACCATTCATTACAGTCCTATTTACTTTTGTTTTCACCAGCATTTTAGAGAATGCTTTATATTCAGATATACTTTCTCATCCTTGCATTATAAAAAAAATAACTGAGGGTTGATGGTGTTTTAAATAAAAATAATGTCTGGGAAGCACATAGGTTTTTTAAATATTACAGGCATTTAATGCTGACAGCAAGAGGTTCTGTCAGTACTGTTACGAAAGTAAATATATTAAAACATTTGTTTTCATTTTAGATATACAGCTAAAGGTGTATTTGCCTTGTAATGTTTGTTCTCTCTGGGGTGCCTGTTTTATTTATGTACATAACGAACAAAAATGTCTCTTTTTTTCATGATTAAGCTTGTTTCAAGCACAGACTTGTTCTCGAGGCATTAAGCACTGGGCAAAACCAGCTGGTTCCCTGTCTCAGGCCTGATCAAAGCACAGCACTCAAGACTGTACCACGTACAGCTCCACAAAACCAAGCATTATCACACATTTGGGTTTTTTCAGATTTATGTGGAGCGGAACTATCCATGCTCATATCCAATGAGGCATCAAGGAGAACAGTTCACGTAGTTCCCTCAAAAGCAGATCTGACTGAATGTTTCACCAGAAAATGTTTTGTGGGATTTACATATTTTTAAAACAATTATGACAATGGAAAAGGATCAGACACAAGTCTGACCTAGTGCTCTCATCCCAAAATCTGCTCTTAATTAGAACTGATTTTGATTTAAGAATTTTAGTCATTTGTAGGGAAAACCCCAAAACAAACCTAAGCAAGCACGGACTAAAAAAATCCCCAGAAAACCCAGCCAAACACATTTACCAAAGTCCATGTTTGAACAAGTCAAGATTTGCTTTTATTTTTGTTTTCCTTCAAAACTGTCCAAAGATATAAAAGTTTTCACTGGTAAATGAGTTGAAAAACTTTCAGCTTAAGAAATTCACCTAAAAAAGACTACAAAGGATTCTGAAGGATAAGAAAAACATTATTTCCTGTTTTTTTCTTACCAGTCTAACTTTGTGCCATAAAAAAGCTCCAAAAGAAAACACTGGAGAGGTGGTTAAAGCATTTATATTAGTATGTTAAGAAAATCTTGGATGATTGTGCACCTTTTACCATCTTCACCTATGTTCACCATTCAAGGTGCTTTGGGCCAAAAAGGAAACCTCTAACATCCCTTCCCCAGAGAAATAAAAATTTTAGATGTCTCCAAAGAGAAAGATTATACATGCTAATTTCAGTATCTATTGTCTTCATAAAACTGTTTGGATTAGGGTAAATAATTCTTCCTGGTGTAAGAGTATTTAACTGTGCTTAATCAGCCCCACCAAGACAATGACCAGGGATCACTACGATCCTTATATTTTTAAAATAATTTTTAAAGTTGGATTAGTGGCCCTTCTGGGATTATCACTGCCACAAAAAAGGAACCAAATGAGCTGGCACCCTGCACTACAGGACTTAATACCATGTTTCTGGTCTAATCTAGGTTTACACATTAATGAACAGGGTGGTGGTGAGGAGAGAGGAAAACCACCATCAAGAGTAGCATTAATTCAAATAGTGGAATGATTTTCAGAAACACAGAAATACACAGGTAAATTTGCATTTAGGATTGCATAACCTAAGTAATGTATGGGAAAATGTATGTGTTTCATGCTTATAAAACCAAAAATTCTATGAAGAGCTGGTCTATATCTTTCATAAAGAATTCTTTCAACCTTGTGTGTTACACTAAGGATTTTACACTGACCTTCATATTTCCAAGTCGTCTTGTTCTGTCAACCACAAGCAGCTTCTTAATAAGGTCTCTGAAGTAGAGAAAACATGTTCTGTGTTAAACAAAAGTAATTTATATTTGACTGTCAAGTATTACAGAATATAGACATGCTTCCCTCTGACCATCCATTTCCTCATATTTTAGGACATTTAAGAGTAAGCAATAAAAAAGAATCTAACAGAATTCTTGCAGATTTCTTTTAGACTCTTCCAAGAATCAAAGGGAAAAAAACTCTTCTTTCTCTTCCCCTGCCCCTTGCCAAGTACCACCATTTTGTTCTTTGTATTTTTGCATTTTGCTCAGCATGCCCAATCTCAAAACCTCAATGTTTTTTCTCCAACAGATCTCCAATCTGCCTGTCAGAACTCAACACTAAAATGTATTAAAAAAGCAGATAAAGTTGCACCCTCATCTTTCTGCTAAATATCCAGGGAAACCATGGAAGAGCTAGTCATCTGCTTAAAACTAGTAACATCTATAATTTAACTGAAAACATAAAGTCTCACTGAGATACAGGCTCATTGAACAGTTCTACATAAAACTAAATCAACATTTTAAGCAACTAAAAGAAGTTTAGAGACAGAAAACTCTTCCATGTTAATAGCAAAGTACTTCAAATATTAAGCCCCAAACAACTATGACATAAACCAAAAGTACCATAATTTATGGAATTAGCTTGATTACTTGCGAGTTGAAAGAAACATACGGCTTCATATTTCTATATGCAGTTACATTTTATCTCGAAGATTATTTTGCTATTTGATTTTAGAAAACTGGCATTATGGACTAATTGCATGAAGTACCAATGACAAGAAAGAACAAAAGTTTAACCATCCTTATTTCTATAATCTCAAGTATTCCTGAGAGATGACATACAGCATGAAACTGAGATTGAGAAGTATGGCTAGTTCAAATTTTCAACAATATCAAAGGTTCAAAAAAAGTCAACTGTTTTATTTACAGAAATGAACACAAACATAACAATGACACACCTGCCCCTCTCCATCCCTACCTGTAATGTCTATGCCTCCCAAAAACAGCATTGTGTCACCTATCCTTGAAATCACAAAAGTGCGTGCAGAATGAAGATATAAACTGAATATGCTAGACTGTTTGAAAAGCTGTTGCATTTGGCAGAAACACAGTTCTAAAATTCAACTGGAAAAAAATTAAATTACCAGATATATGAATTAAAGTCCACGTAGAAAGCAGTTTTTAAAACTCTTGTGATTATTCCAGACAATCAATATTTCAATTAGATTAAATCATGTGACCAACTCCTTTCACAGTCACCTTTGCAGAAAGATCCCTTTCTACTTCACAAAGACCATTCATCATGGAGGAGGACTATAAGAACACTTGAAAGCAGAAGTAGGACTGAAAAGAAATACAGAAACCCAAAAAGAGATTCACAGAGTTTATGGGCAAAGACACTTTCCCATTCCTATAAAACCAGAAAACATTTCATGGATCATTCTTGGCTTGCTTCAAAAATTCATGATAAAACAGGTAAGGGATGAGCTTACTTGCTGATACAGTATTGTTACTAAATATGATACTTGCTGCATTGGACCAGTGAAATATCCATTGAATTGAAACCAATAATAGTTCCATAGTTCTTTATTACATTGGTTCTAAACACTCATTTAAAAATTATGTTAAAATTAATTCAATAGATATGCTGGTGCATGTTTCTGAGAACAAAATTCTACATGAAGATCTCTGCAGAGCAAAAGTCAGTAAAATGGTGTAACAGGGACATTTCATTTGGAGGTTTCCAAAAGTGGCTTTGCAAAGAAAACCTTAAAAAAGCAGTAAGGAAAAGTGACATTCATGCATCAGGAGGGAAAGCAGAAGTGGTACAAATTCAGAAAATAAAGAGTACAGGAGGGTGATAAGGGATAGGTGAGTAAAAAATGTAAATGCCTGTAAGCTCAGGCAGTATATATCCCTAGGGAGAGAAGCGCTCTCAGAGTTCAGAAAGGGAAACAGTTTTGCTGCCTCAGAACAGAGAGTTAAAACTTTGTATAGCACTAATACTTCAGACACAGTCTGGATCTGACAGGACCCAAGACAGTCTTCTTTCTGGCTGAAATACTGATTTATTGGAAGAAGAGAGAAAACAGATGGGTTAGAAGGTAAGAGAAGACGACTGCCTTCATTAGACAAAACAATCTCAGCACTTGCTTTAAGGTAATGATGCAGAGATGTTCAAGGACTGACCAGTTCTGCATATTGTGGTTTAAAAGAAGGAAGAGTGTCTGACATCCAAGACACTGTGTTCACAACTCACTGCAGAAAGTAAGTGAAGCCACAGGAGTAGTGTGGCCAGCAGGACAGAACAGTGATTGGCCCCCTCTACTTTTCAGTGGTCAGATCACACCTCGTGTTTCTGCATCCAGTTCTGGGCCACTCACTTGAAGAAAGACATTGAGATGCTGGTGTGAGTCCAGAGAAGGGCAATGGAGCTGGTGAAGGATCTGGAGGGTAAGTCCTACAAGGAGTGGCTGAGGGAGCTGGGATTGTTTAGCCAGGATAAAAGGAGGCTCAGGGGTTATTAGTCTCTATAACTGCTTTCACTATATTGGATGGGTTGCTAGTGATGATAACCTAATTTGAGGTGTTCCCCCTTCTGATCACAATATTATAGTTCAGTGCACAGAATACTACAGGAGATACTCAGTTCTCTTTCCAAAACCAATTGGATTAGGAAGACCGGATTAGACTACACTAATTTAGACTGTAAACTGTGTGCAGCTACTGACAGAAAACTGTTACAAAGACACAAGAATATGAGACACTAGTCAGCCTAAGGGGAAGCAGACATGCTTCAGTGCACTCAATGCATCCAATGATTCAGTGGAGACTTAAAAAAAACAAAACAAAACAAACACTTTCTGAAATGATTAGTTTTGTTTGTATGGTTACCCAGTAGTGACAGTAAGCAAGGGCCTCTCTGAAGTCACCATCAAAACATCACAAGTGATTAACAAAGGAGTAGCTTCCTGTCTTCACTCCATCACTCACTCACTCAGTTGTCACTTAGAAGAAACTTCACGCTTATAATCGCATTTCCTCAGGTTCCAATGCTTACTAAAAATTATTTCAGCTATGGAATTTTCAAATAGGAAAAAAAAAAGCTTATTTCATCCGCAATACACTTTTAGCAATTGCTAAATACTGAAAATTAAACCCATATTATATGTGTATGTAATACTCCATATTGAACTGGGCCCCTGCTATCACAAATTTAAGTTGACTTTACACTAGAACTTCTGAAGTACCAGAGTTCACTCAAGTAATTATGCTGAGAGTGATTTAAGTGGTATGTATCTATGGAGAGAAATAGTTTTAGTGTCCTCTTCCTGCTCTCCTGCTCTCCTAATTTTTGCTCAGATTATCTCCTCATATTTCTCCATAATAAACAGAAAAGATAGGCAGATACTATCTTACAACTGTATCACCACCTTGAAGTCTACAAAATATGTAAGCTTATTTGGACTGAAAGTGTAAATGTAATATCAAATATTTTCCAACATGATGTTTCAGAAAATCAGAATCTGAAATCAGGTCTTCTAAAAAGATTTTTTAGAAACAGCACTCAGCAGGTATTTAGAATAGAAAAGACAGCGTTGGGAGTCATGGACTTACTTTACATATAAATCCAAATGCCTTGGGAAATCTATTTTGCCAGCAAGAATCTTCTGATATATACCAAATGGATTGTCATCAAAAAATGGAGGAAACCTATTTTAATATAGAAAATTTTCAGAGGTTAGAAAAAAAGTACTAAAAATTTTATAAGCAATATTATGTTATAGCAATTTCCCTCAGAAATAATTGATGAAGTTGTTCTTTTTGCTAGGACACTACCAATCAAGTACTATCTTGAAGAATAAGTTAAGGCTGCCATTGTAAAACAGAAAACATTTTTGTACACAACACACTGAATGCAGAATTAGAATTTAAATATAACAACAGAATAGAAAAATATAAAATTGCTACACAATTGCTGTAAAAATAAAATTTATGAAAAAAAAATTTCAGTTTAAAAGTAGAAAATGCTTTGCTTTTATCTCTAAAACCCAGGGAGATACTCTCCAAAAGAGCATTACCATTTTTGATCTTGTCCCGTAACTGCCGGCACACCCTCATTTATCAGTTTCTTTCTAAAGTGTTAAAGGACCTTCACATTAATGCATTATCCAGTTCAGTTATTTGTTGTACGTCTTGAATTCAACTATGTGTTTTGCTAGATAAGGTTTTTGAAACAGTCAGACTGCTCACAACTCTCCAAGTGCAGCTGCCTTTCTCCATGGGACAGATAAAGTTTTCATTTCATAATCTTCCCCATGATGAATAGTAAATAACATGTAATTAAAATTCTACATTTATGTTTTCTATGAAGTTCTTCATGAAGTTATGAGCTAACAGAGAGACTACTTCTTGTTGTACAGCTACAGTAAGAACTGAAAGTTTTCTGCTGTGCTTCCCTTACGAGTACAGTACATCCCTGATGGCTGCAAGAGGTGCATCAGTACAGCCAGTGCAGGCAGCTGAGCCCAAGAGCCGACAGCTTTCCGAGTGTCACTCATGCTCTTGAAAGTTAAACAGGAACCCTTCTAAGGGAATGGAATAACTCATTCAGTAATCTCAGTCCTGCTTTGCCCTATGTAAGATGACCAAAACAACGCTCTTACTATGCTTCTGCTTCAAAATCCCCACAGAATTAAAAAAACCTGCAGCTTTTGAGTGGTGACCATACTAAAAACATCCAACCACTATTACAGTTTAATAAAAGTATTTTCACATCTCCCTAACATAATTACTTTCTCAGAGAACTTAAATCTGTGCATATGCACACAAATACAATGCTTGTGGCTTTGGAAATCACTGATAGCACAAAAACAAGGATGAAAACAACATTTCTTCACTTCAGGCTCTTTTTTTAAATTTTATGGCAATCAAACTAGCTTATTCTTCAACAAGTAATATACATTATTTCCATTATGTTTTCAGAAATATTAATTTCTTCATTATTCCGCTGATGATCAAGCAGATTAGCATTCCCTTTGAAACACTGTAAATTTCAGCCACAGGAATAGTCAAATTCCATCAGAATAATTAAGTAAAGATATTTGTAGGCTTATGGTTAAAAAAATCATAATTCAAAGCACTGAAAAGCATGACTAAACAATCTGGTTAGGGAAAGACTAAAGGACATTTTTTGTTGGTTTTCACAAAGTCAGAGTACTTTCTTTATGAAAAACTACTTCCCAGCTAACTGAAAAGTGGAAGAATCTCAGGAATAATACTTGTGCTATTAAAAATTCCTACTTTGACACTAAAGAACAAGGAAAACATGATTGCTATTTAACATGCACAAGTTTTTTCACCAAAACAAAGACTACCATATAGTTTCTTTTTTAGTCAAGCAACATAAACATCATTCACATTCTCCACAGCAAGTTGGCAAACCCAATTTTTTATTTATTACCTATTAGAATCTATAAATGCATAAGGCAATTAGAATATTCTTAACTACGGTACAAAGCTATCAGCTAAAGTAAGCAGATTACTGTACATTACTAAGGTGTGAGATCAAGAAGAATAGAAGTACATATAATTTTTTCATATTTACATTGCATTGTTGTAATTTGCTTTCCCACTTTGAAAATCCAAAATTACTATGTCCAGAGTTCTTGTGAAAAATTTAAATCACAGTTGGCTATAAATTAATTTTATGGCAATTAAAGTGCATTTGAACTCTATGAAAAATGACAACAGCTTTGAAACACTGCAGTTTTCTCATGGACAAACCAAGTAACTTGATTTTGATGCTTTTTATAAATGTCAATCTTCAACACAGCACAGATTTTAAACAAAACAACACAAGTATTGTGCTGGAAGCTACCTAATAAATCAGCAAAAATCCCCCTGAGTTTCAGACTTTCTTCACACCACAACACAAATACAAACAGCTGCCTTTTCACCAACTGAAAAGAAGATACAAAAAATATCATCTCTGTAAATGGGAGAACAGCTGCAAACCATTCCTTTTGCTAACTGAAGCATAACAATGGCATGGACATAAGTTTCCAAGACAGTCTGAAGAGAGAAGTTGTAAAATCTCAAGGGAAAATAAACAGGTCTGAGAATATGAAACTGCAGACAGGAACCATTAACCTACCTAAAATGCCAGACCACCACATCACATATGACAACCAAAGCAAAAGTGAAAACCACAAATCCATATTAATACACAAAATTCGTATTAGCTGCATATCTGATAACAGTACAATTACAAGCTAACTTATCTAATGTTAAATAACAAGTATATTTTTCTTTGCATTAAATTGTAACAGAACTCATTTACTCAAAATAAATAGATGCTTTTGTATTGACAGTTTGCTTAGCTTGTTTAGATTAACTCAATGAACTTGGTGTTACTCATCTGTTAAGTTTTCTTCTCACCCAGATTAACTCAATGAACTTGGTGTTATTCATCTGTTAAGTTTTCTTCTCACCCTTGTTTCTTTCCTTCCCCCTTCTTTATCTTGCTATGTTAAACCTAAACAGGACCTTGCCTCAAACCTAGTTTGTGCAGAAGAAGAATTCAATGGGCCTCCAGAGATTAAGTTAGGGAAATAAGACACTGTGGAACAGGAAGGTGTGGGTTTGTTTGTTTGTTTTTAGAGAGGCCATTTCCTTACACGCACACCTACCAATTCTTTTCAATTGCTTTTGCTTTTGGGCTTCAGGGAGACTAACTTCAGGAAATAACTATCAAATGTCTTACATTAATTTACTTGCAGACAATAACTTAGTCTTGAAGTCAGGTTTTGTTCGCCTTCAAAGTATTTTCAGATTTGTTACATCTTCTTTGAATTTTAAATTATAAAGTTAACTAGGACTGCTTCTGTAATAAAAGCCTTGATAGTATATATCTAGCCAGATCTTGAGCTGCTGAGGAAAAGTGCTTCAAAACACTATTGCTAGGAACAGCAAAAAGTTTATAAAATGCTAAAAGCATACATTCATTGTGACAACCTTCCCATCTAAAGGAAACACAAGCCATAATCCCTACCCTTCTTTAATCCCTTAAAAAAAACCCTAAGAAAGTAGTATATCCCCATCTTAAAAAAGCCCAAATCAAGCAAAAAAAAAAAAAAAACCCAAAAAACAAGCCTCTAAACACAAACATTCCAAACATACAAGCTTGTATGGAGTCTCTATTCCAGCTTTGGAAAATGAATGCTGCTGTGTTTAATTTTTTTAGTCTTGGATGCAATCTCTATCCAAAGCAGCATTCAATCATTATAAAGAGCACGTCTATACAAGTACTGTAATAAAAAAACCTTAGCAAATCACACACAATAGTCAGCTGCTCTGTCAGTCAGCCTATATAAAACCTCACTTGACTTTCAGGACAGTGTAAGCTATCTCTATTGGTTAAAAGTCTCTAAAAGCCAAAGTGCTCATTTTAAGCCACCCACTCTGAAATCCAGGTCTCATCCCCTGAGCCAGACAGTGTCATGACACAGAAGATCCTACATAGAAACAACAGCAGCTGCTCCCATTTTTAATGAACAATATATACCAGTCATGTTTCAGTGGAACATACAGAAGCCATACTTCAGCACCCTGCGTTCTTGAGGTCTCAATGACACCAAATATCTTGTCTGATTGCCACCTGTAGTCTTTGTTAACTTTGTAAACTACATTTCTGTTAGTGGTCTAGTGGACAGAATCCTCCCAACATCTCTGTAAGGCATGCAAATAAATAAGGTCCAATATCCACTCACACTGAGATCACACAGACCTAACAGAGAGCGGCCACACTGAAACCCCTGGCAGGAAGGTAAATCACAGCTGGGTGACTGCAGTACCTGAGCTCATATTACAGCCCAGACACTTTTATCTGCTGTCTCCTTACTGTCTAAGGCTAAGATTAGTGGCAACAAGCTTGCTGGAATCTCTTTTTTCTCTCTGAGGACTCTTTTGACCAACTTGGGCTGCCCACCTTGCAGGAAGCAATGGAAAAAAGGTGAAGCCTGGTCTCCGCAAATCAGCCTACATAAATAACAACTTGGGCCAGCCAGCAACTATGTTTATTACTTTTCTGTCTACAAATTGCCACAGATTCAAAGTCAATGCATATGTAAGCCTTCAGGACACTAAGAAAGCAAGCAGTGGGTAGCAATGTTGTGCTAGGGAAAGTCCTGTTGCTATTGAGTGAACTTCACAGCAGTACCCCACAATGGATTAGAGCTCTGAAGTGACCACCCTTTCACCAGGGGAGCTACTTGCTCAGGCAAAATTACAAGCTTGTCCAAACACTGGAAGAGTCAGCAAAGTCACTTTGAAATGACAGAAATACACAGAGAAAAGGATGAATAAATCCAAGCAAGGACACTGTTCTGATCATTCTACAAGGCTGCAAATTTCTAAAGAACGGCCACAGGGGACACCTGATGCACTTGGGGACCAAGAAGGTGTAGAGCGTAGAGCCAGGTACCAAGCAGAAGGTATGAAACTATGAAGAAGGCAGAACTATGAAATGAAACATTTCTTCAGAAGCTATGAAAACCTTGCTTTCACCTGCATTTGTCCTATAGCACCCACCACAGCAAAGCCAATTGCTTTCAAAAATCCAAACCTTTTTTCAAGTACCCTCAAACAACACAGCCAAGACAAAACAAAGTAAGATGAAAACCACAACAAGTAATGAACAGGTTATTATATTAATGTCAGAAACCGTTTCTTCAGTTTGAATTTGTATCTTCTGAAAACATTGCTTTATCAAAAAAATTCCAGAACAGCAAAAGCAGCATTTGAGCTAGCTGATTTCAAACAGACCTATAAAGCTTTTCACTGTTCTTCCTCTGGGTTAAAAAAAACCAGTGCTCCATTATAATACAAATTGTGTTAATAAAAGTCTTCCTACTTGCCACTGTGCATTTTTACAGACTAAAGCTCCCACTGTAACTAGGATTTCCCTATGTTGGAAATTAATTACAGAAGTAGTCCTGTTCTTTACCCTTTAAACATAAAGGACCTCGTGAATAAAAATCTAAACTTCAGCAAAACCTGAATTTCCAAACACATAAGGAAAAGAAAAGCTGTTAAAGTATTAAGAAAAACAAAACAAAAAACCCAAACCAAACAGAAAACACAAACCCAAAACAAGAAACAAAACCAAAAAACTCAAAACTCTATTACATTCCCACAAGTGATACATGTAGTTTTGTAAAGCTTCCCAATTCCTTTCTTCAAAGGCAGAAATTAAACCAGTAAATCAATAATAAATTTGGCCCAAATTTGCTTATCCAAATATTGTAAACAATTAGCAAATAATTCTGTATTACATAATATTGCTGTGATATAGTAATTATCACTTACCCTGACAACATCTCAAATATAAGAATTCCTAGGGCCCACCAATCCACAGCTCTTCCATGGCCTTTACTTTGTATGACTTCTGGTGCAAGGTACTCAGGAGTGCCACAGAGAGTCCACGTTCTGGTTGTAAAAGAAGGGGGAAAAAAAAGCACAAAACAAACAACAATAGCAGATCAAATGGGAACTGAAATAACAGTTGCAGGAAAAACCAAACACACACATAAGAACTACCCAACATATACCTACCTATGGATTTACAATACAAAGGAATAGAGAAATAAGAAAGGTCTGTACAAGATTTAAACAGACTGCTTTGATGATGCTGTCCAATTCTCCTGGAACACAGATATCTGCAAATTAGGAAACCTCCTGTCTCAGAAAATACCTGTGCATAGAGTTTCCCAGCTGGCGCTGTGGTACTCCGTCCATTAAGACTCTACATTGTTTTGAATTATTAACAGTGTTTTTCATGGACTCCTTCTGACAGGCCCAGCAGAAGGCAAGCTTAATGGCTTTTTCCAGAAAAACAGTTTCATTTAGAAAAAAGAAAAGAAGGGAGTTTTTAAAGCAGTCGTAGTTTAAATCAGTAAATAATAGCACATATATGAAGATTTGTTTTACAATCTAAGTAAAGTTTTTCAAATAGTATTGAAATCTAACCTGTCATCACTTCCACAATATTTATTAAAAGGGAAACATTTGTATTTTTAGTTATTTAAAATATTTACAAGGTGTAGTCAAGCAAGTGTGAGATAAGTAGGCAATACTTTTTGATCTATTTTTAAGTCATTTTTAATCATAGCTTTCTATGGTAAGGTCAAAATAAAACTCTTATATTGCTAACTAACTGAAGCTCAAGTTCTATAGAGAAAAGAAAAACTGAAGCTAAGCAGTTATGTTTACAAAGACCAAATTATATTTGAAAATAAGAATATTCTGATGTAATTTCTTCTTCTTCACAAAGAAATGTGAACTTTTCATTGTAAAAATACCCATGTAGAATTTTCTTGGCTTCACTCCCTTGACTTAAGTTTAAATACACACTTGCGAGAAAAAGGTCCTCTCATTTTGAATAAATTACCCATCCCTGGCAAGTCAGAAGATAAAACTTTGAAAATGTGCTCACCTATTCAAGAGAAACTGAAATCCCAGCACAGAATAAGAAAGAAAACTGTACCAGATTTTAAAAGGAGCTCTAGTAAAATATGACAGAGACTATAATCACAAATGGTCACCACATGATTTCTAACTTGCACCAAAAAATACTGAGTGTTTGTGAGAGGAAGAATTTTCTCCAATCAAACTGGTAACATGCACCTGAGCAAATGCATTAAGATGAACGGCAATCACCTTTAGAAGTAACACTAATTCAATATCTTTTTTCCTGAGAATGCAAGGAAGATGATTGTTCCACCCTACTCTGTGCTGATGCAGCCTCACCTTGAGCCTGTGTGCAGTTTTGGGCACCACAATGTAAAAAAGATTTTAAGCTACCAGAGAGTGTCCCAAGGAGGGCAGTGAAGAGGGTGAAGGGTCTGGAGAAGCCTTATGAGGAGGGGCTGAGGGCACTTGGTCTGTTCAGACTGGAGGACACTGAGGGGAGACCTCATTGTGGTCTTCAACATCGACAGAGGGAAGCAGAGGAGCAGGCACTGATCTCTTCACTCTTGTGCCCAGTGAGAGGACTCAAAGAAACACAATGAAGCGAGTCAGGGGAGGTTCAGTTTGGATATCAGGAAAAGGTTCTTGACCCAGAGGGTGGTTGAGCACTGAAACAGGCTCTCCAGGGAAGTGATCACAGCACCAAGCCTAAGAAAGTTCAAAAAGTGATTGGAAAATGCTCTCAGGCACAGGGTGTGACTCCTGGGAATGTCCTAGGCCAGGCCAGGAGTCGGATTTGAGGATTCTGATGGGTCCCTTCCAACTCAGCATATTCTATGACTCCCTGCAATATTTTAAAGGGAGCTTTTGTTTTTGTTTTTTTTTTTCAATTGGTTGGTTTTTTTAAGCCTTGAACATTTGATTCATAAAAATAAGATAAAGGAAGGGAAGCTGTACAGTCAGTTAAGGCTTTAGCTGAAGAATTATAACTTGAATTTTTTTAAGTTTCAATTTACTAAGGCAAAAGCCAAATTATTCCAGCTAAACTGTCAGAAGTGTTAGGCACACTTTGCATCCAATGCACTTCAAGGTTCTTGAAACGACATTTTTAAGTGTAAATAATACATTTTTATCATGAATTTATCCAAAAAATATGAACTCTCATTTTCCAAATCAAGGATACTGAATTTTTACATACAGTGCTGCTTTACACTACTGCCATCTAGCAGCTGCCTAGGATGGACTATGGAATTAAGAATAAGAGCAAAGCTCAGTCATCTTTTAAAACAAAGTACTTCTCCCTCTTCCAAATTAAAAAAGCTGTATCTGTCATGTGACTTAATCACACCGATTTAGGCAGCTATGCAAATGAAGCAGCTGACAGTTTTACCATATTTTTATTCAAGCAAGAGGAAAACCGTGAACGTAACTTGAAGTTTCCTAGCTGCACTAGGAAATAAAATTTATTACTACCACATTAACTACTTCCTTAATTTCAATCAAGAAATGTATGTTTATTAATTACACAAAAACTTGGAACTCATGTTCTTTTTTAAGATATGCATTTGTGCCGTAAGATCGTGACTTGTGTTTCCTCTTTTGTTGGCCATGAAACATACTATTTAGTATTTTGGAAAACACATCAAGTAGATGCTACAAAAAGATAATATGTTAAATTATTTTTTTAATCATTACTATTTTATGGCTACTGCATATTTATCTGAAGTTCCAGATAACTTATTTGAAGATAAATTACAATGAAAAAAGGTAAGAATAGACTGTTCCCTTCAAACAGCTACAAAATATTCAGTCTTCTGAATTTTCAAGATAAAAGCTGAAATACAAGAAAGTGGTAATTGATAAGCCTGAATATGTAATTTTAAAACATGAAATATAGAATCTACTCTGGTTAAAAAGGTAATCTACAAAATAATTTTGTGAAACTACTGAAGAGTACTGTGTGAAGAAGTTCAGTCTCGATGGTTAATGTGTTTCAGCATTCCACACCATGCAGCATCCATCTGTGTACCTGAAAGCTTTTAGCATATGAGACAGATTTGTTTTGGTATTCTGGCAGTTTCTCCATAATTATATTTAATGAAGATGGTTTTGCATTCAGCCAACAAATATTTGTTCTGCAAGACATTCTTGCTTGCTTCTACAGTGACAAAAGGTAGACTTTGCAAACTAGACTTACTATGTGTTACATAGTCTTTCTCTCTTTAGTCCACTGTGTGGAACAGTTATGAGGCACATCCAGCCCATGCAACAATGCAGAACTACCCCCAATGTGTTTAAGATTAATCACTTCAACTTTCTAGAAAGACTCACAGGTAAATTTCTTTTTTAGGAATGTAAACTGAATAAACTAAAATTAACAGTGAATAACATTCCAGAAAAAAGAAAAAAGATCACTTGAGTCTTATTTTTATCTGTCTTATTTAAATATCTGTCCATAAAAAACCCCATAAAATTCCATGCAGATTAGTCTTGTGCTTCTCTGAAAGAACATGGGAATTAAACACCAACCCTAAAAAAATTCCCAAAAAACCCTAAACACCCAAATGAAAAAAAAAATCAACCAAAAACCACACAAAAAAAGGAAATCAGAACAGAAAAAAATTTCAATAAAAGTACTATACCCAAAAAGTGGTCAGAAGCGTTTCAGAAAGAGAAAGGTCTACAGTTGTAAAGTTCAAAGGAAATTTTTTTTACAGCCTTCAGGTAACAGTAACTTATAAAAACCCCCTCCCCAACTTCCTTCCTGACATTGCCCTTTTTTAGAAGTAGTGGCACACCTATTTTATATGAATGTACTTACAAGAAACTGAAAAGGTTATTAAGTCTTCAGTTAAGCAACATCAAGGTGGAAAAGAGAAGAAATAAACAGCAGCTGAGGCAAAGACACACTGTTTTGGAGAAAAATTCAGAGTTTTTAAATATACACTATGAGTGAAAAGGGAGGAACACGGATAAACAGAAGGACATACCAACAAGGAACAGAAGGAGCAAAGAAAGCCTCCTCTGTCTCTAAAAAAAAACAAACATTAAGAGTCTAGCCCTTCAGAAATTGCAGTAACAAGAAGGTACAGGTGCAGGCTGCTTTCCACAGTGGGAGCATGAGCTATGAGCCAGACACTTTCTGAAGAGCAGCTTAACTGTAGAGGGACATGGTGAATATTTCATCCCTTTACACATGGCAGTGGGAAGAAAGGAAAATGTCTACAGAAAAACCCCAATTAAGCAGCTACAGAATCATTTGGTGACGTATTATGTATCTGGAATGTGAGATTGTATCCCAAGTCTTCAGCAGACCATGTTTTCATTTATGTGAAGTGTCCTCTTTCTAGGGATGTCTCTGCTGATCCTGAGAGCAGGTTACCTCACAATGTTTGAAGAACATAAATACTTCAGGTCTTCTTTTTGCCATTCATGTATGCTGTGTATATGCACACATCTATACACTCACTGACACCCATACACATAAGATTCATTAGTACAGATATCTGCCATGCATAAAAATGACAATATCTCCTATAATTTTGATCAAATAGGCTATGCCATAAAGAAAAGCACCTACTGGAGGGCACTAGAGAATAAAGGGTTTATAACTGTGAATTTTTACAGTGACAAAACCAACATTGTGAAAATGACTTCAGCTAGTAGGGAGAATACTATGTAGTGTCAAAAAAAAAAACCAAAAACCAAAACCCAGTAACACAAAAAAATTAACCAGATTTGCATAGGTGCAACCTGTGCAGTCTTTGCCACCTGTGCTCTAACTGATAATGTTTTTGCTTATTTCAATTTTATGTTCTGCACTCATGTTACCTGTTGTACATTTGAAGGAAAATCAGCTATGAATACAAAACTAGTATAATCTTCTATGATTCAACAAAAACTGATCAACTCCACTGCCCCCAAGCAATATGGAGAACACAAACCCAATTAAAACCAGTAGCAATAATCAAGTTTGATATCCTAAAATATATTTGAACAAATTTACTCTTAGAGATTCATCTACCAGGTTGAAAAATATACTCTGATATGAACTATCACCTTATTTAATGAAGGGTTACTTCTCTTGTGCCTTGAACCCACAGAAGCACAAAACAAGAATTACCACCAGGCGGCAGTATATACATATAAAGAGCAAGTTGTGAATATTTGTGTGAAGATGTCTTATAAAGAGATTGTACTACTTTCTTACATGGAATATGTTAGCTCTTCCTGCAAAAAGTTTTTTTGCTTTAAAAACAAAGTATTAAAGTGAAAGGCCCAGAATTTGTAGGCCTTTTTACTTGCCCAGTGAAAACTTTATTAATATACTCATAATAAAATTCTATGGTTTTAAAACAGATTTTCAGACCTTAAAGGTTAATAGAACTTTTGATTCTATTTTGGGATATCATTGATCTCATCTGACTTTTACTTCATAATGAATGCATTAAGCAGCTTCCTGTTACTGATAAGGAAAACCTTACAAAAGGAACGCCTTGTAAAATCATGGCTCAGGCCTGTAACTTTGGTTAACTAGAAAAGGACTGTGGGAAGGAGACTCAGCTGAATTAGGGGTAGAAAAACAAGTTATGTAACCATGGTGTGTTCACATCGTGGTGTATGGTGGTTGAATTATGTTTGTTATGATTTAAAAGTATGTAGCTGCTAAAGCAGCATCAAACAGGTTGATGACTGAAGAGGATGAGCACCTATGTAGCACCTAACTCAGCACCGTGCTGCCTCAATCTGAACAATCAAATAGAGTCTCCCTCAAGAGATGACTCAAAGGCATAACATCAAGCCTTGTCACACCACTCTTCTGATACAACAGGCTGGTTTTTACCTCCCTTTTCTTGAATCCCAATGTTCTTGTTTACTCTTAAAAGCATGTATTATGGTCTTGAAAGAGTAGTCCAAACAGAGAGAAGAGAGAAATCACTGGAGGGGAGCCTCTGCATCACCAAAACTCACATATGTAACTAAAGCTAACAGTAATATAGAAGCTAGATTTAAATAAATCAGTGCTGCTGAAGCTAGCCTTATGGTTTCTGTCTAGGCTTTCACAGTTTCATTTTTGCCACAGGCTAGTGAAAACTCTGTATCTAGTTTTAAAATCACTCTTCAAAAATCTCTAAAAGGAAACTAGAAGGGAACCTGAGTTATAAAACATATTCAGTATGTATGGAGGATTAATTTATGTATCTTAGTATTGGTTCATATTATTTTCCTGAACTCCCTTTTTCCAACATGACTGCTGAAAACTTAAATATACAAAACCAGCCATATAAAAATATTTTCCTGTCATTGCTTATGTGTGATATTGCTCCTGGTGATACCTAAGGGATAATACTGCTTTCCATTCAGCCATTTAAAGATTATAATTTCCTTCATATTAAGGGATTTGATACATGTGAACCACATGGAGTGTTAAATCAAATGCTGAGCACCTGAAATCAAACATTTTTTCCTAACTGTTTAGCATGCAAAATGTAATTACCAGAACAAAACCCGACCTACCTGTCCACCAGTTTTTTTGCAAATCCGAAGTCAGTAAGCTTGATATGTCCTTCTTTGTCTAGTAATATATTTTCAGGTTTTAAGTCTCTGTAAACTATTTCTTTGGAGTGCAGGTATTCTATTGCACAAATAATTTCCGTCGAGTAAAACAGTCCTGTGCTGTTGTTGAAACGCCCCATGTTGCGCAGGTAACTAAAAAGTTCTCCTCCTGGCACATATTCCATTAGCATATATAAAAACCGTTCATCGTGGTTGGTCCAAAATCTGTAACAAAAGTATTGTTTCAGTGAATAAAGAAATGATGTCTTTGATTTGCTTTACAAGTCATTGTCTGTAAAGTGGCCTCTGCTACCTCAACCTTGTACATAACTAATTTCTGATTACTTGTCTGCAAACATTAAAACCTCCAAGAATCCAGCAGGATTATGTAAGACATTTGAGTAACGACCTTAAACTACACTACAAAACCAGATAGCTGAGGGTAAGTACAGCACAGGACAAGAAAAAACACTAATTCATAGATTCTGTTTCATCATGCCAAAAAGGTCTCTTCTAAGCACCAAATAACTGACCCAATATAAAGACTAAATATTTTTTACACACCTTGCATTTTATATTATCAAGCATTACCAAAGTGATGGGGGTAAGCAGAATCTGCTTTTGTAAAGACTTTCATGACAATATGTTCAAAACCAGACATCAAAGAGTTCTCCTCCTGTCCTATGCCTTCCTCCCCGGAGATACACAATCCCAACTAAAGCATCAGATGACAACCCTTGATCTTTCACAAAAACAAAAATGATAGCAGAACAAGATTCATTTCTGTACCTCAGAATTAATCCAAGGATAGGTACCTTCCATTCCTCAGACTACAACTTTTAATTTAAGAGCTATTTCTGGGGTAGCCAGAGAAACATAAAGAACAGGTATAAAGGAAAGAAAATAATTATATGTGGCTTTAAAATGTTTCATTACAGAATATAGGAATCTTCTCTTCTACATTCCCCTAAATTATCTTTTATTTCATTCTATCTACATTAAACAAGTCACCTTACCCCTAAATGTAGCTCAACAGTTAAGAAGAAAACAAATAGGTGGTAACATCTTGAAGAACACTGCCATTTAAACAAAGAACTATCCTTAATTCCGTAATAAAAGATAGAGAACACTGTATCCTTACCTACTTATTGATACAGTGATACAAGAACAGAAGCTACTTCAGCCTCTAGTCAGTGCTTCTGCAGTACCACAAATACCTCATGGTATTTAATCAGGGCATAGAGCCTCAGGTAAGGCGACCAGAAACTGAGCTCCACAACACATGAATGACTTTTAGTCCAGAAGATTTTATTTTTGACAGTAGCACTGTGGCAGCCGAGGAAACAAGACAGACTAACAGACATGAGCTACAGCTCTTTGATTCCCTCAGTGATGGAGAAAGCAGAGCCCAAGCTTGTCTTCTGCTTTTATGGAATTTCTTCCCTATCACAGTCATCAACATCATTAATTGGCTATTGGTGATCACAGCATCTTTACAGACTACAAAAAAACACTCTGAAAATGGATTTTATGTAATTAGGCAAAGCTGTACCTAAAATAAACAATGAAAGAAGAGTAGAAATGGGTGAAAAAAAGCAAAACACCTATATATAGTAGAGGAAGAGCAATATCTGACAATACAGGGGGGAAAAATGGAACTTCTGCATCATTAAGCACAGAATTTTTCACAAGAATTAATTTCTTAAAAATCTGACTCTTAAAGGTTTGTCTACCCACAGAAAAATGGACACATTATTTGGTATACATGAAAAAGAGCAAAATTAAGAATTTCTGTACTTGCAATTCAGACTGCTTTAAATGGTAATGTAATACCAAAAGAAAAAAAAAAATCACAGAAGCTGTGATTAGAATAACATGTGGTGTCATTAACTCTACAATTCAGCTTGCTACATAAACTTGAGATGCCACTGTGAAATCCTACAGACTAACAACCTGTTTCAGCTTATACAGCTACAAGACACAGTTGATTTTTATTATTTCTTCCTCTCTTCAAAAACATGTCAACATTACATCTCACTGTGAAGAGCTGCACCACAGTGAATATGACACATTACTCAATTGTCAGTAAAGATTGCCTAGGAATCTCCAGTGATCGGCTGTTGCAGAAGCACTTAGGAAGTGTTTAGAAAAAAATTGTTTAAAAAATACAGATAAATAAGACCAGTGTCTACAGAAAAACTGTACCTCACTATATTTAGAATAGGCATTTGTCAAAAGTAACAGGTAAAGGGAAATAAAAACCCATTCTTTACATATAGGAAAACTTATGGAATTTCCAAACACCAGCAAACAATTATGTGCAGCATTACTTTATATCCTGAAATACTATGCTGTGCTGACACCAAAGGAAAATGCTATCTGTGTTAAAGATGGTGAAGCTAACTGAAAAGATAGAAACCAGACCATGTAGATAACACACTTTAAAGGCATGAAGCTGAACTATATAGTTTTTCCCCATTTTTGTTAAACACTTACAGTAAAATAATTAACAGATAAAAAACCAAACAAATTGGGCAGGAGGTGGCTGAAAAAAATCTTTTAGTCACACAAAAAACTGCAGAAAGTGTTATTTGTCATACAATCTAGTGAAAATCATCCACAAAGATTAGTTTAACCTAAAGCACATAAATATCTTTGTGACTTAAATTTTAACTACCTCACTTCAGCTATGTTGCTTGGAGTCTCCTCTGACAAGGGAAAAAGGCATCACATGGACAATTATATGAACATAGCTGCTGATGCAACATACCACTGGACATTTCAACAGAAAAAGCAGAGCTCCATAAGACATGAAAGATGTTTGCTTTGCATACAAAGAGAACTATTTGAATTGTGTCCTTTGGCAACTTGAAAAATCTGATATTTTGTAAATAAGGTGTGAATGAAATCCAGGAAAACTCCCCTAGTTTGGATTTTTAATCACTTCTATATGAACATGAAACCTCCCTGTCTCTGAAATGTCACCCAAATTTCTCTACTCCCACTGTTCCTGACACACAGACCTACTGAGATGGGGTTTGTCTGGGAATTTACTTGTTGTTTTTGGTAGGGTTTTCCTTTCAAGATGTACATAGATAGATATACAAAATCCTGTTCCCCCCGTTCCATCCATACTTCAACAAGTCTAACCAGATGTACTCAGCTTCTCCATCTTGCTTTCTTCCATGAATCTCAATCTCTGCATATTCTAGAACTTGTCTTACTGATACTATGCCACACACAGGATTTCTGAACGCTAGCTGGAAAGTAACAGCATCATGATGCTGGGAAAGCCAACACCACACCAGGGAAAAAGCCTCCTCCTGCAGGGCTCATTCCATCTTCTGAATGACTACCATGCTGTTCCCTTCTTCTTCTCCCTCTGATACTTGCCTAACCCTGGCAGGAAGCTGCACTCCCTGCAGCTAGATTAACTAATGCTAATTTTGTCTAATTCTATGTAAAACTGATTAAGGCAGGTAAATGGAAACAAATCTTAGTTAATAGCCAGCCATGTATCCGTGCATGAGAAAACATAAATGGAAATTAACCCGCAATTACCAGAGGTTTAGTTATGCCATTAATAGATACAGACTCAGATACACAAGAAGCACTGTGGTGCTGTGAACAGAAAAGTATGAGAAAAGTCCTCTGTTTAACAATAGGACCATTGGGATCATTAGAGTTACCTCAATTCCACTAAAAAAGAAGTATTCTTTATGAACTGTGTTTAAATAATGCTTCTCAATAGGTTCCATCACTTAACTTGAAATACAGGAAAGTCCAAGAAATGCTGCAGTTATTTAAACTCTTTAAAAATAAAGTTTGCAGAAGTTCATTTAAGTTTTTAAAAACTTGCTATTGAGTCTGGGAATATCTTTAGCTATTTAGCAATATCTACAGCACATACACGTAGAAATACTTTCATCACAATTCTAACATCAAGAATCATTCTAGAAGTCATTTTGATGAGGCAAAGCTAACAATTCTTCATTAGTATTTTCCTCGCACTTCCAAAAATGTCTCTTCTGCAATGCGAAGATAAGAGAGAAAACACCTTATAATAAATTGTTTCAATGTTTAAATAATGCCTCTTTATTTTTAAATTCTTGATTCTTCTAAAATATTTATTTCATTCCAAAGTCTATTTTAATCTAGATTACATATGAGAAACTAAATACTCTGTGTCAGCAAAGTACCTAAGAACTTGCAAGGAGATTCTGGAGTACTTTAACTGCAATTCCTGTATGAGTAAAATGAATTAAAAAATAAAACAACTTACAATCTGATCAAAAAAGGGTGGTTCACTTCTTTCAAGACAGACTTTTCATTGTGCACGTGTTGCTCTTGCTTCAGTCGAATGACATCAGGAATGCTCATTACTTTCAGTGCAAAGTAACGCTTGGCCATTTTCTCCTTCACCAGGTGAACACGTCCAAAGGTACCTGTGCCTGAAAAGTTGGAGAAGAAACATCAACTTAGCATAAAAAGGGAAAAAGAACAAAGATAATTTGCTAAATTAAAACCTACAAGAACTCCAATTATTCAGGTGAGGAGATTATAAGATTATAAACTTAAATGTGCACAGAGAGGCAAAGCGATTCAGTAGGACAAGGAAGTGACGGGAAAAAAAACCATGATATTTGCTGATCCTTCTAAAAATTAATACATTTTTTTAAAATCTGCTTATAGTGCTCAGTGTTATATCACTTGGAAACAGCAGCTGTCTGGCACCCTTTTTTTTTTTTTTACAGTAATGTACTCCTTTTTGAACTCACTCTAAAAAATAAAAAAGGAAAATAAAAACGTAGTGACTTTTAAATAAAGCATTAGGCATTTCTCTATTCAACAGTCACTAAAGTTCCTTTTAAGTGCATTGCACTCAAGACAATCATATAACTGAACTGAGTATCTCTTAGTTTGAAATCAAAGTTAAAACTGGCAGATTTAGCCAGACTGCTATTTGTTGTGCAGCAGAGTTTTACACATTTGAAGACCAACACAAATTTCAGCTCATTAGGTGACTGCTTACTGTTTTTCTGCTCATTAAACAATGACACAAAGGTTCCATTACAACAGTGCACCTGATCTTTTGAATCCCATTCTCAGACAGCAATATGTACCACTATAAGGGACACCTGGCATTAAAACCAAGCACCTAACTTGTGAAAGGTCCCTCTCTCCAGAAAAGTCAAAAGCTTAATACTTCAGCTCACTATCATCCCCTTACTTGCACATACCCTAGGAAAGGCAGCACACAGACCTGCTGCAGTATTATTAACTGCTTTGTTACTTGATTTCAGATTGTGTTGACCAGTTATGATTAATCTATAGTAAAGACAATTTCCTAAAATGTGCAACAGGTACAGGGAAAGGAGTGCGTATGTGAAAGGAAATACATTTTTGAGAGATAGGTAGGAGCAAGAAACCAACAAATGAACTTCTAAAATTGCATTACTGGGGAGATGAGAAAAAACAAGGGAATTTTTGCCTCTGCTAGTTTCAATTTATGCTTGAAGTATTTGTTTTCTGTATGCAGATTCTCAGCTAAAATATTTCATGTTAAATAACAGTTTCTCTTTCCAATCACTTAAAATGTTGTTTAAGACAGCATTTACTAAAAACCACTAAAAACTACTAACTCCAGCAATCCAGTTTTATGGAATTTGCAGCTCCACTACCAATACAGATTTCAAAGCCAGTTTTCAAGATAAAAGTTCTCACTACACAAACCCATCAAGCATTACCATTGTCCAAGCACAAAAGATCCTATCAAAGAAGTTTTACATTCCCACCTGTCCTGAATTACAGTTCTTTAACCATGAAAACTATATACAGATCTCAGAAAAAGCCTGCTTTTATAGCAAAGTAAACCATCAGGTTACCCTGGAAAATTTATCATGCAATGAAATCCTTTAACAATGTACTCACATTACATTACTATATCTGCAGACAACTTTATTTGCTCAGGGAGAGGTTTCTGCAGTAAAAAACCCCAAACAAATAACATAAACCCAACAAACAAACAAACACCAAAAAGGGCCCAAAAGTTTCCAAGCAGAGACATCTGTTCAAACTACTTTAAATACGGATTACTTACATTTACACTGCATGTACAGACAAAAAAAAAAGAAAATTAACTCAGTTATTTCTGAATTAGGAGCTGAAATTTAAATTCTGAGTAAAAACATTGTGAAAAAAAATGATAGTCATATGGCACACTAAAACTAGAAACCATCTTTGATTTTTGAGACTTCCAAATGTGGACTCAGGGAAATTAACAATACTAACCCCCCAAAAGCAAATGTGGTTTTACATGCATTCTGATACTTGTACAAACAAAGTGCTTCCACAGACATATCCAACAGGAAAGTCAAAAGTGAACACATATCTAATTGTTTCAAGATCTCTAGTGATTACAAGCTTCAGGACTTGTTCTACTTGTTTAAGAAATTTTTATTGTAGAATGCCTTACTTTTCCTTATGCTAATAATTTCTCTTTACAAACCACTGGTCAAAAATAACAACAATAATAGCAGAAATCAAAAGTTCCACCTAATTTCAAAGAAGAACCTGTCAGAGACCTATTTAGCAATAGTTCTAACTTGGGAAACACTTTCTCTGTAAAAACACCTCTGCCAGGAACAGCAAAGCCTAGCAGGCTATTCCAGAATAGTGGCAAGGCCTAATCTACAAAGCCTCTGGGAAAACCAGAGGACCACACAGACAGGCAAGAACACAGAACCTCCCTAACCAGTTTTATTGCTGAACTGATCCCAGGCAGTCTATTTTCAAACATCTTGAGCACACTTGCCAGCAACTATGAAAATCAAGACCATACAGACCGAGGAGCCATCTAACACTTGTTTTGAGACATGTCTTCTCAAAATATGCATTTTCTCCCCATCGAGTGTTCTCAGAAAATCCATTAAGCCTGCATTAGCTGGCAGTACCCACACACCCACCACTCTTCAATGGGATTAATTGCTATGCTTTTTTCTTGTTTTGTTTTATGCTTAGCCAGTCTTTAAATAACCAGGTAAAATTTGCATAAATTACTGCAATTAAAAATCTCACTTCAAACCTGCTCATACTTTTAGCCATTTCTGCTAATATTCTTTAAGTGTTCTTCCTTGCAATTAATAGGGAAGGTAGGAGGCTGCAACAAGATGTTATTGTGGTTGTTTAGCATTGGCAAGTATATCTGTTCTATAAGAACAGGTTGTTGTGTTGTGAGTAGATGGAAATTCTGCCTTTCAGATTCATAAAAAGAAAACTAAAAACCTGAAGCAGTAAGTGGCACTGAGCAAGACAAAGGCCCAGCTCCATATATTTGAGGGAAGATTTTTGGCAGCAAAAAGGCAGTGTTATTAGTCTTCCATCAAAGCCCCACTCCAGGTGAGGAAACACCTAACTCATGGAACAATTTCTGTTAATCCCTATGAAAGAACTGTTCCACATTTTCCCCTGATCACCTCAGAGCTCATCTGTGTGAACCAAATGAAGTTGACCTTTTGTGACAGATAAGTAAATATTCCTTATGATTACCTTAAAATGGAAATATTCTACACTTGTCTGTAAGAATTAAGGGAAACAGTGTTCACATATTTGCACTTTAGTCTACTCATGTTTATTTCATATTTAGTTCAAACCAAGAGAACTCGAGGGACATGGTACCATTCTGGATTAGCCCTGGGATCTACCAAATACTATTCTGCTGAAGGAAGAGCAATGGCTTCATACACTCCCCACACATATACCCCTATCTGTCTGTTTAATTTAGTGCATGTTACCAGAGTTTCAGAGCAAAACAAAGCACCTACATGATAAGATCATACCACAAGAAAACAGCTGTTCTTACCAAGTCTGAAGGCAGAGTTGTAGTTAATTTGCACAGGCCCCTTCTCCCTGCTAAGGCATATGGTAAGTGAAGGGCTCTGGCCACCAGTAACAACAGCAAGAAGAGCGCCTGTGCTGTTAGCAACACAATTCAGGATTTTCACGACTAAATGGGCAAACAGAATAAAATATGCAAAATGCTGACCACTAATCCAGTATAATCTATTTACAACAGAAACAAAATTCTTGGATCCCATTGCAAATTTTATGTGGTTGTAGAGCTTGAAGGAATGCCTGCAATCTTCTCCATTAGGTAACCTTCTCATGTTAAACACAAAGAGATGAGGCCAAAATCTGCAGAGGACCAACTTGGGCTATGTATCAAACACAAGTAGGGTACTTTCAGTCTTACAGAACAAGCTGGATTCGCTAATACCATTCAAAAACACTATAGCCAGTTTCCATTTTGTTCTCTTTGAAGCCTGGCAGAAAAGAATAAAGAATGTGGGAACATTTCTGATGCAATTTCAGATACTTTTGATGCTAGGTAAAACAATCCGGCAACTTTTGATCAGCTAAAACAATTTAGTGAGTAGTCATGTAGTGACTATTCTGCTATTGATGTAGATGACTAATTTAATGCTTAGATTGCCTCTTTATTTGCTCCCATTAATCAGACCCAGCTGTTTTAATCCCCAACTCTTTCTTAAAACCAAGTTTGCCTTGCTCAGATAGATACCATCTGTTTTAATGAGGAATAAACTAGGTCATGTGAGCTCTGTGACCCTGGGGGTTGCTTTCTGAGTCCCAGAAGGGTTGGCCCTGACTTCAACAGATGCCTACAAAAATCATCAGATGCATTCACTTTTATTTACAGTTAGAAAAAACATTTCCTACTATGACACATTAGTCTTTACTAATAGTCACAAGCACAACAGATTTTACTCTGTTAAATATCAGATATTAACTGATAACAGATATTAAGTGACATGTATCAGATTGCAAACTAACTACTAAATGTGAAGTTTTGTCTGCCATTTAATCGCTGTCTTTTTTTGGGATTGAACTTCAACAGGCTAGACTAGGAAATGAGGGTTGTCAGTTCTTGACAAAAAAGTGGAAAAGTGGCACAGCAAAGGAAAACCAGCCTGCCAAAACAGACTGGTAATCAGAAGATTAACACTTGGGAGAATGATTTAGGGAAACCACAAGGCACAAGCAACTGTGGGCTTCTACAACAAAAGATGTGGCTGGCAAATGAATAGGACAACTCAAAATGAGGACGATGATGATTTTGGACATCACAGTAGCAAAGTTTAGATTCTCATTAATGTGTCAACCCATTACCCAATGTCACTGAAAATGCCAAATACAGTGTCTTCACTGTTCTGCAAGCCAGCTGTGGATTGTTCACTGTAAATCTTAGATCACTGCTTTTATAGATCTTTATTACTTTAGAGGGTTCAGATTTAACACTGGAAAACAGTGAAAATCAGAGAAATAACAAGTTAGAGGAGGTTTTATAGGATGCCTTTTTTTTTTGCCTAGAACCGGGCATCTCATACTGCTGAATCAACAAAAGAAATGTCTGATCACAATTTTTGTAAAGCTT